ATAAGCAGGTTTCTTGGGCTCTTCCTTCACTGGCTCGACCGGTTTCTTTTCCACGGCCTTAACCTCAATAATTTCTTCAACCTTTTCGAGCGGTGTATCTTCAACTACTTGCGGAGCTGTTTCGACTGGTTTCGTTTCAGGAGTCTTTACTTCCACAGCTTCAGTAGCAATGGTGGATGTAGTAGTAACTGTCGCGGTGGTCTGAGACACTGTTCCTTGAGATGTATCTTCTTCGTCAGATAAGAACATAGGTTCGTCCAGAACATCCAGCCAGGTGCTGGAAGATCCGTCGATTGGAAGACCGGCATAAGCTGGTTTCTTGGGTTCTTCCTTTACTGGCTCGTGGTCCAGAACATCAACCCAGGTGCTGGAAGACTCATCAATAGGAAGACCCTCGTATGCAGGTTTCTTGGGTTCTTCCTTCGCTGGTTCGAATGGTTTCTCTACAACAGTCTTTACTTCCACAACTTTATCCACTGCGCTCTCAACTGGCTTCTCTTTTTCAACATTTTCTTTTGGTGTTTCTTTGACTTCTTGCAGAACTTCTTCGACTGGAGCCTTTATTTCCTGCGATTCAGTTATAACAGTGGTTGTAGTGGTAGTTGTGATCTGAGACACTGTCTCTTCTTCGTTGGATAAAACCAATGGTTCTTCCAGAACATTCATCCAGGTGATTGAAGATTCATCAATAGCTGGTTTCTTGGGTTCTTCCTTTTGGGCTTCGACAGGTTTCTCTTCTACAGACTTCACCTCAATTTTTTCTTCGACTGGAGCCACAACTGATTGCACTTCTTCAGCATTTACAATTGCTATCTCTTCAACCACTTTCGGAACATTTTCTATAGGTTCAACTGGACTCTTAACTGGTTCAATTTGTTCAAACTTCTCGATTGATTTCTCATCGACCACTTGGGGAACTTCTTCGAATAGTTTGGTTTCGGATTCTTTATTTTTCTCTGTTTCACTTACAACAGTGGTTGTAATAGTAGTTGTTGTAGTTGTCGAAGTCACTGTTTCTGCAGAGTTTTCCTCTTCATCAGACAAGAACATAGGCTCATCCAGAACATCCATCCAGGTGGTTGAAGATTCGTCGATTGGAAGACCAGCATATGCAGGTTTATTGGGTTCTTCCTTTAGTGGTTCAACGGGTTTCTCTTCAACAGGCTTCCTTTCAACAACTTCTTCCACTGAAGTCTCAATTGGTTTTACTACGTCAACCTTTTCTAACGGTTTCTCTTCAACTACTTCCGGCATTTTCACCACAGGTTTGATATCAGGAACCTTAACTTGTTCGACCGGTTTTTTTTTCAACAGTCTCCACTTCAACTACTTCTTCTACTATGGTCTCAGCTGGTTTTACGTCGCCAATCTTTTCGATTCGTTTCTCTGCGACCACTTGCGGAACTTCCTCCACAGTTTTTGTTTCACTAACGACCGTTGTTGTAGTGGTAATGGTCGAGGTGACATTGGACACATTTTCGTCGGTCTTTTCAAAGACTTCTTCAGTAGGCTTTTGCACCTCAGCGGGAACATCATACGAAAATAGGTCGTCATCTTCATCAATCATATCCTTCCATGATTTGGGTTCATTCTGCCCGGCAAAATCATCATTATCTTCGGGGTGGTCGTAAGTCGAAGTAACTCTCTCAGAGAAATTGTTCCATTCAAAATCATCTAAAGTCTCTTTGTGCGCCGAAACTTCAACTGCAGGCCTCTCAGCGACGGCTCGCTCAATTCTTTCAATTGGCTGTTTCTTTTGTGGTATAGCTTTTACCTTCTCCGCTTTAGACGTTGGTCGACTGCGTTCATTACTAATGAAATCTGTAGTAGATTGACTAACTATTGTAGCCCAGGACATCTTAGTAGGAACAGCGGGGATATCGGAGTATATTTCAACCTCTTGGACTGCCGTAGGTTTCGAAGCTGGCTTCTCTTTTGGCTGCGCCATTTCTTTTATTTGTTTCGCTTGTTTAGTACTCAAAGTTTCTAGCGGCTTTTCTTTCGGCTGTGAAACTTCTTTTCGTTGTTTCAAATCTTTCTTACTCACAATTTCTTTTGGTTGTGCGGAGTCTTTAAGCTCAACCTCTTTTTGACTTGCTATCTTAGCCCAAGTTAAAGTATTGGACTCTGTTGCAGGCAATTTCTCATATCTTTCAGAGTCACTGTCAGATGTTGTCGGCAGTGATACATCCTTTTGAGTACTTTCTTTAGGCGCTTCGGTGCGCTCCTTTACTTTCTTGCTCACAGGCTTGGGTTTCTTAAACTTTTCAGATTTCTTTGGTGCTTCAACGACAATTTGCTCAGGCTCAGCTACTTTCTCTGCCTTCTTACGTTCTTTTATATCATCAACCCATTCGCCTGGTCGTTTTACTAAAGCTGCCCAAGAGAATTGTGGGTTTGCAGGCGCTACGGGTTCTTTTGTTTCAATTTGTGGTTCTGGCTTCTCGACAACCTTTGACACTGCTGCTTCAATTTCCGCAACAGCGTCGGTAGTAGCAACTACCTCAGTCCACTCAGTTTGTTCTTCGATATGAGTGTCAGTCTTTTTGGAAATACGTTCAGGCTTTGATTTTGGTTTCTTATCTTTATTTTCCTTTTCCTTTGTCTTTAGAGGCTTCGGTTTTTCGACCTTAGGCAATGGTTCTGATGGTGCTTTATGTTTCGTAATGGTTTCATCAATCCACTCGCCTGGTCTGCTTACTAGTGAAGCCCAAGATACGATGCCTGGCTGCGATTGTTTTGGAGCGATGTTTTCAGGCACAGCTGGCGCTTCAACTGCGACATGGTTCTCTTCTTCTGATGTAATTGGACTCTGACTATTTTCTTTTAGTTCATCGGATTCATCACTTTCTGTGGACTTTACTTCTTCTGCCTTAGTCGGCTTGTGCACGGGCTCTTCTTCTTCTTCTGGCTTGGCTGGTTCAATGGAAACATCTCTGTTTTTATTTTTCTTGGATTTTTTAGGCTTACGCTCCTTTTCTGGCGCTGCTGGTTTTTCTTTTGACACCTCTTTAGCTGATTTCTTATCAGCGACAGTCGCTTTTTTCTCGCTCTCGGTAAACACCTTCTTGGTTTTACTAACGATGTCGTCCACCCATTCACCGGGTGTCTTTACAATAGATGACCATGACATTAATGGTGCACGAGTAGTTTCGAGTTCCTTCTGAGGTTCTTTCTGTGGTTCATCCAAGACGGCAGGCTCTGGCTTCTCCTCCTCAAGTTCAGCAGTAATATTTTCTGGCACCTCTTTCTCCATAGTTTCTACGATTTTTACGACCTTTTCTACCTTCTCAGCCTTACGTTTTTCTTTCTTTGTTTTCTTTTGTGGCTCATCCTTTCGTTTGACTTGCTCGACTGGTGTAACCTCAGGTTCAGCTGGTTTTTCGGAAGGTACTTTCTTGTCTTCAGTCACAGCTTGAATTGTGCTCGTTTCCCCTACATGCGAATGCTCACTAAATACGATATCAGCATAGGATTTACCCTTCGGCGCCTTTGAGTCTCTTGTATCCTCAGGAAGTTTAAATACCGGAGCATCGGCATTGAGTTGGGAAGGCCTCTCACTAATTTTCTCTTCTGGCTGTTCTTTATGCGACTTCTCTTCTCTCTTTTGTTGTTTGGATTTTTTCTGCACTTTCTCGGTATGAACACTTCTTTCATTTTCTAAGAAAACCACATTTTCATCAGCATCCGTTTGGCGCAGGTAGGATGGTGTAAATTCGGGTGCATTAGGTGACAATTTGGACGTAAATGCAATATTTGGTTGAACAGGTGTTGTATCTTCTAACACACTTGACCACGTATCAATGACAGACTTCTCTTCTGGTAATGGCTTGCTATCGGACCACTTCGACACAATCAGAAGGTCGCTTTCGCTGATGCTTCTCTCTTTACCATAACCATCTACTGGAGGTGCTGTTATCTCTGGCGCGAGTGGTACATTTTCGTAGGGTGCAAATGTATCTGTAGTTTTTATTTCTAAATTTTCAAGTATGTTTTCATTTGCCGACTTAACAGTACTTTCAGATTTAACCTCATCCACGAAAGATACAACCTTCTCTTTCTTAGTTTTGTCGTCAACTGGTTGAACTATGTTTTCTTCATTCATTACAGTAGGCAGTTTAGGTTGCTCATCTACCGCTAACATACCCGCAGTACTTTGCTCTATAGCTTCAAACATGGAACTGGTTATGGTGGTAATCTGAGATAGAGCATGCTGGATTTCATCGATACCAATAGTTTCGGTATCTTTAACACTCTCAGACACCACAGCAGGCTTAATGGGCGTTTCTTCAACTGGCTTCACATCTTCGATCTGCTCGATCGGTTTGTCATTGGTCACTACTGAAACTGTTTCTACAAGTTTTGGTTCTGCAGGCTTTACTTCTACTACTTCACTAACAACGGTGGTTGTTGTGGTAGTGTGAGACACCGTTTCTTGAGATGTTTCTTCTTCGTCAGATAAAACCATTGGTTCATCCAGAACGTCCATCCAGGTTGTGGAAGATTCGTCGATTGGAAGACCGGCATAAGCTGGTTTCTTGGCTTCTTCCTTTGTAGGTTCGACGGGTTTTTCTTCAACAGTCGTCACTTCAATAACTTCTTCCAGTGGAATCTCAGGCGCTTTTACTTCCTCAACCTTTTCAAACGGTTTCTCTTCAACCAATTTGGGAACTTCTTCTACAGGTTCCGCGGAAATCTGAACTGGTTTCACTTCCACAACCTTTTCGATCGATTTGTCTACGACCGCTTGAGGAATATCTTTTACAGTATTGATTTCAGAAGTTTCAACTTGCTTTACTTCTGTTGCAACAGTGGTTTTGGTGACTGTTGTTGTGGTAGTCTGCATCACGGTTTCTTCAGAGTTTTCTTCTTCATCAGATAAGACCATAGGCTCATCCATAACGTCCATCCAGGTTGTGGAAGATTCGTCTATTGGAAGACCGGCATAAGCTGGTTTCTTGGGCTCTTCCTTTATAGGTTCGACGGGTTTCTCTTCAACGGTCTTCACTTCAATATCTTCTTCCAGTGGAATCTCAACAGATTTTACTTCCTCAACCTTTTCAAACGGTTTCTCTTCAACCAATTTGGGAACTTCTTCTACAGTTTCCGCGGAAATCTGAACTGGTTTAACTTCCACAACATTTTCGATCGATTTGTCTACGACCGCTTGAGGAATATCTTTTACAGTACTGATTTCAGAAGTTTCAACTTCCTTTACTTCAGTTACAACAGTGGTTTTGGTGACTGTTGTTGTGGTAGCCTGCGTCACGGTTTCTTCAGAGTTGTCTTCTTCATCAGACAAGACTATAGGCTCATCTAGAACGTCCATCCAGGTTGTGGAAGATTCGTCTATTGGAAGACCGGCATAAGCTGGTTTCTTGGGTTCTTCCTTTATAGGTTCGACGGGTTTCTCTTCAACAGTCTTCACTTCAATAACTTCTTCCAGTGGAATCTCAACAGAATTTACTTCCTCAACCTTTTCGAACGGTTTCTCTTCAACCAATTTGGGAACTTCTTCTACAGGTTCCGCGGAAATCTGCACTGGTTTAACTTCCACAACCTTTTCGATCGATTTGTCTTCGACCACTTGAGGAATATCTTTTACTGAGCTGGTTTCAGAAGACTTAACTTCCTCTACTTCGGTTAAAACAGTGGTTTTGGTGACAGTTGTTGTGGTAGTCTGAGTTACAGTTTCTTGAGAGTTTTCTTCTTCATCAGAGAAGACCATAGGCTCATCCAAAACGTCCATCCAAGTTGTGGATGATTCGTCTATTGGAAGACCGGCATAAGTTGGTTTCTTTGGTTCGTCCTTCACTGGTACGATGGGTTTCTTTTCCACAGTGTTCACTGCGATAATTTCTTCTACTGGAGTTTCAACAGATTTAACTTCCTCAACCTTTTCGAACAGTTTCTCTTCCACCTCTTGAGGAGCATCTTGTACAGATTTGGGTTCAGAAGCTTCTACTTCCTCTACTTCGATTACAGCAGTGGTTTCGGTAACAGTTGTCGTAGTGGTCTCAGACACAGTTTCTTCAGGTTTATCTTCTTCGTCAGAGAAAACCATAGGCTCATCCAGAACGTCCATCCAGGTTGTGGAAGATTCGTCGATTGGAAGACCGGCATAAACTGGCTTCTTGGGTTCTTCTTTTACTATTTCCACGGGTTTCTCTTCAATAGTTTTCACTTCGATAATTTCTTCATCTGGAGCCACAACTGATTGCACTTCCTCAGCCTTTACGATTTGTTTCTCTTTGACCACATTCGTAACTTCTGCTATAGGTTCTACTGGGATCTCAACCGGTTTCACTTCCCCAACCTGTTCCATCAGTTTCTCTTCGACCGTTTGAGAAATTTCTTCCACGGTTTTGGTTTCAAGAGTTTTGGTTTCCTCGACTTCAGTGACAACACTAGTTTTGGTAGTCATTGTAGTGGTGGTCTGGGTTACCGTTTCCTCAGATTTCTCATCTTCATCTGACAGCACCATGGGTTCGTCCAGAACATCCATCCAGATGCTGGAAGACTCATCAATTGGTAGGCCAGCATAAGCAGGCTTTTTGGGCGCTTCGTTAACTGATTCGACGGGGTTCTCTTGAATAGTCTTCACTTCAACAACTTCTTCCGCCGGAAGCTCAGCTGGAGTATCTGCTGGTTTTGCTTGCTCAACCTTTGCAATGTGTTCTTCTTCGACCACTTTTGGAACTTCTTTAACGGGTTTGCTTTCAGAAGCCTTTACTTCCACTGTTTCTGTAGTAGTAGTGATTGTAGTAATAGTGGCGGAGCTTCCCTGTGACACTGTTTCTTCAGATTTTTCTTCTTCTTTCAATGTCTCGATTGGTTTGTCTTCTATTTTCTTCACTTCAACAACCTCTTCTACTGATTTCTCAAGTGGCTTGCCAACTGTTTTCACTTCTTCAAGCTTTTCTTTCGCTTTCTCTTCAACGATCTCTTGATCATCAACACTCTGTTGCACAACAGTGTCCACAAAGTGTTTCTCTGCCTGCTTAATCGCCTCAACATTGTATTTCGGAGTTTCGTAGTTGAAGTAATTGCTAACGCTTTCTAGTACACTTGCCGTTGCAGCAACTGCAGTCGTTAGAATTGTGGTCGAGGTAATTGATTGCCTAGATTTATCTGTGTTCGACTCTTCCTTGCTTTCAGCTGGTGCGAAAGATTCGCTTATTTCTGCTGGCTTGACTTCCGCAACTGCGGTAGCCAATTCGAGTTTCGGCTCGACGTGCTTGACTTGCGAAGCTTGCATGTCTGCGATTTCTTCACTTGTTGACGAGGTTGTGACCTTAGTAGTCACGGTGGTGGTGGTGGTGGTGGTGGTTTTCGAAACTAACTCATCTTCTTTAACCCCTAACTGAATCTTTGCAACCTTTTCAATTAAATTTGCTTCGTCTATATCACTTACCTGACTTACAGCGGGCTGCTCAACTTCCGGTGATTTCACGTTTTCTTGCAGGGTTTGGTATCTCACCTCAGCTTGTGCTAGCGTAGAAACATCATATTTTGGTACATCGTAATACAAAGGAATATCACTCGAAACTACACTAATGACCTTAGTAGGTGCGTCGACAACTGGCTTAGCTTCGTCTTTCTGTGATAATTCTACTATTTGGGGTTCACTAGGTTTGTTACTCACTTCAATGTAGCTCTTTTCGGCCAATTGCAACTCATTTAGATTATATTTAGGTACCTCAAAGCAAATTAGTGCAGAATTATGGGCGCTAGTTTCTTCGATTAGCACGCTTGCGCTAGGTTTTGCAGCAGGTATTTCATTAGCAATAGCATTGTTAGTGGGTTCTGCTGTTGCAGGTAATTTGGTGTGTACTACTTGCACTTCTTCTTCTTCAACCTGAGTTTCTGCCTTAGGCTCGATTGGTGTGTCGTCGTGTGCGGGTACCTCACGCTCAACTAGCTCGTGATACGTTTCCTCACTCTTACTAACTTCCCTAATCTTAAGCGATTTATCCTCAACCAAGTCAAGGAAAATATTTTGTTTAAACTCAGTTTCACTGCGTTCCACGCGCGCTTCTTCAACAGCAGTCCTACCTACTTGTGGTGCCTCCGGTTGCTCGCCTACTTCACTAGTCTTGCTTGCTAAGCGTTCTTCAGCTAGCAGTTCTACCGTTCTATCTAACTGTTCCTGTTTGAAAAAGTCTTCTGGTAGCGCTGGTCGCTTTTTCTTATCTTTCTTAGCGAGTTTCTTCTTAATGTCCTCAAATAATTCTTGCTCTTCAGCTGTCATTTCTGCTACAAAGTCTGGTGTGTCCGCAGCCTGTGTTTGTTGTACAGTGGGCTCTGCTAACTTTTCAAACTTTTGCGTGTCGTTTGCTGAGGGCGGTCTGTCGGGTATGGCAATATTATTCACTGTTATTAAGGAAACACCTTCTACGATAGTAGCTAATGAAGTGTTCTCGTTGTACTCGCTGCTTTCTGTAAAGCGTTTCTCTACCACACTCTCTGTTGTTAACTGATCTATAATTTCATCTTTCTTTTCTACTACTTTTTCTATTACAATTGGCTCTGCTAACCTAGTCACCGCTTCCGTGGTAGGCAGCACACCCTCCGGTAGCGGAGTTTCACTTCCAACCGTCACACTGGAAACCTGTTTGCCTTCCTCTACTTTCACGTTACTGCACTCGTCTAATACCTCATCCGCTGTCACCTGCTCTTCTATTATCTTGTGTATAATTGATTCTGTACCTGTCTCAAGCTTAACCTCTTCCTCTACAACCTTTGTGCCCTCGCTTGACTCAGCTGTATTCTCCAACTGTGTTGTCAATGTTTCGGTAACTTTTAGGGTAACTGGTGGGAAATCGAAATGCATTTTCATTTTAGGGGTTTTGTATGTCTCTTCATGCGTTATGAGTGCAATCTTTCGCACTTCACCCGATTTGGGAAGACCGTTGTAACTTTCGTCAACCAGCGTTAGCGGTTCACCGTCTTGTGTTTCAACACTAGCTCTTTGTAGTGTGGTTAGTCGAGTACGTTTGGTAACGGTAGTGGTAGATTTTGATGTTTGTTCGTTAGATTGTGTGGTTAGCGTCTTATTGGTAATTGTAAGATCTGAGGTCGTTCTTGTGGTCTCCGTAATACTAGTCTGTTGTGTTTGGTGCGCTTGCTGTTCCTCAACATTTGGTAACACTTTAGTGTCAATATCAACAACTTCAATGCCAGTACTCTTCTTTGATTCTACTTGCTCGCTATTGGCCGAATCAATAATTTGAACCTCATCAATACCACTAGGTACATCATAAACATTGTCACTGCTTTCAGTTGGTGCATATGCTGTTGGCAAAGGTTCAGACAATGAGCTGACGTCAATGGTTTTCACACCCGGCATTGTAGCCTGTTCGGGCATTTCAATTGAGGATGTTACTATGACGTCATCTGGATTATCTACCTCTTTCAAAAGTATACGACCATCTGAAGCAATTGTCTTATTCAATCGCATTGTACGTATGGTTGTGGTTTTTATAATAGCGCCATCAGTTTGCGTTGTAGTGGTTGAGCTTTCGCTAGGCTCTTCAATAACAATTGGCGAGTTTCGCAGCTGTTCATCGCTTGGCGACTCGCTCGTTTTCGTATGCGCTGTTTCGTCGCAGACGTTGGCGGCGGAAACAGAATCGTATGGTATGCGTCTAACAAAGCTTGTCGTACGCACAGTCACAGTTTTTACTACACCACCGTTCTCTTTTTCATGCTCGTCGGTGGGCTCAACGGCAGCTGTCTCGTCTGCAGTATTCTCGCTCGCCGTCGTCGTACTCTTTTCGCTGCTGCTTTCTTCAACGTTTTGTGTTATTCTTTTAACTGTTTTTGTCTTGCGTACGCGTATGGTTTTAACCACCTCGCCGGCAATTGTTTGATCTGTGGCGTATTTTTCAGTTGTGGGCAATACATTTCTGATTTCGTATGCATCAGGTGTATCTACAATGGCGCTATGCTCCTCCTCCACGCGTGCTGGTGGATACTCTTTTTCTTCCACTACTTGCGTAGCTTCACCGATTTCCGTAGCTTCGTTAACATTCTGTGACTTGATGCTCATTGTACGTACTGTGGTGGTCTTTATCACACCACTATCATCGACTTCGCGCACAACTGATTCTGATTTCTCAATTTTCGGTTCTTCCTTCGCTTCCTCTGCCACGTCAATGTCTTCTGCTGTTTCTGACGCCGTTGGCTGTGGCTCCGGTGACTCTGGTGACGCTGGTTTCTTCTGCATTATCTTCTTGACGAATTTCGTCTTGCGTACAGTGGTGGTTTTCACCACGCCGCTTGCGTCCTCTGCCGGTTGTTGTTCTGTTCTATTTGGTATTGCACTTATTTCATTCAGGGGCTCTGTGGTTTCTAATACAGGCTGTTGCTCTGTAATTGTTATTTCGGCGACTTTCTGCACAATCGCGCTAATCGATTTAGCATCGGCGTCTAAGTCGGTTACTTGCGGTAGTCTCGGTGACAGATGCGTTTGCTTCTCGTCGCTTAAAAAGTCATTTGTCAATGTTTTTAGATCGTCTATGCGCTCAGTGGGAGTTGGCGCAGCGAACTCAACAAGTGGTTCTCTTTCATCAATATCTAATGCGAAGGCAACTTGCTTCGGTGACTTTCTTAAGGGTACTACTGTGACATTGCTGAACGGTTCAGGGATGTTTGCTTCCTGCGTCACTGTTACTGTTGTTTCAGTTTGCCGCGGTGTTAGTTCCGTTGTAGCGATAACCGCAGAAGGCTTATCTTCAGCCAAAATATGAGTTCCGCTCTGTGATTCTGCTGGAACTACTACTTCCTCAGTAACTGCTGTGACCGGCGCTACTGTTGCTGCTTTAGTCTCCTTTTCTGGTTTACTTTTCTTTTTCCCCTTCTTATCTTTCTTTGACGTTTTTTGCGATTGTTCAGCAGTCAGTTTCTCAGCATTGAGAAAATCTGTGATATGAGTTGTTACATTCTTTTCTACAACTGCATCAACTGACTCGACAACTGGCTCTTGCGCTGGCTCATTCGTACCAATAGGCACTTTAGCCTCTTCACTAGTAGGCGTTAGCGTCATGGTTTCCAGCTTGAACGCCGGTTCTCTTTCCACTACATTGACTATCTTTTCAACCGGACTTACATCCTCACCTTCTTCGATTAGCACTTCCTTACCGTCGATGATTTTCGTAACAATTTTGCGCCTTATCACAGTAGTTGTCTTGGTTATATTACCATCAGTAGTGGTTCTAGAGTAGGTCTCTATTTTGGGTTCGTCCTCGGATACGCTGATGACTTCCGCAACTGGCTCATGGATCTCATGTGGCAGCGGTAGCGGTACCGATTTACCTTCAACGATGCTAATAGTTTGCTCTACCGATTCATTTGGCGTTTGCTGTGTGGTTTCTGCTTCCTCAACAATTTCCTCCTTTCCATCGATGATTCTAATTATTTTAGTACGCGTAGTTAAAGTTGATATCTTTTTCGTTGTTGTTTTGATGATCGATGTGGCGTAACCATCTGTTGAAGAAAACTCTTCGCCGACAACAGTGATGGTCTCATCGGCGGGCGCTTCAGTGGCATTCAGCGATTCCTCGGTCTTGACGTGGATAACGGGTTCTTCTACCGTTGA